CTGACGTTGACAAACTACTTCTCGAATAGCATATGGGTTTTTATGCGATTGTATTAATGACTGTTAAGTTTGTTATGCAAATTGAAACGCCGTTTCTCCTAAACATAGATTTGTCAGCCGATTATATCGATGTCAAGCTTGCATTGACATGAGTGGATGACATTGTGAAATGCAAACTTATTGTTAGAAACGAAAAATTATTTGTTGCAGATTTCATATTTTTGTTATAACATTTCAATAGAACCTAAGTATGTCAACGTAACGTTTTTTTCTTATTTCAATTCAAAATACATTATTAAAATTTATGCGGGAAACCGGGACGTCCTATATAAGGATAAAGAATATTTTGAACAAAGCTAATTATCAAAAGCAGAGTTCCTAATTAATTTGCCTTAATCCCATAATTGTGTTCAGTTAAGTATCATGTGTGCTTCAGCAAGGTGGAAATACTTTCCATTAACTTGCATTTCCAAGTTCAACTCTAATTTTGTTAAAATCGAAATTTCCTATAAGTTGTGGTCGATAATTCAACTGCAATTTTCGTACCAAACACGTACATCAAGTATGCAAAGCACGCGAAGCCACAATTTCGTTTCATCACTGTAATTTCGGAAGCATTTCCTATTAAAATACAATTCACTCCAGCCAGCAATTTAAAATTATTACAAGTTTCCGTTATCAAAAGAGATATTCTAATTTTAACATTCTAACTTTAGAATATTAAAATCCTTCCAAGAGTTGACGATTCAAATACAATGTATAGATATAATCAGGGAATGGAAAGTTACTTTTTAAAAGTAACTAGTTACAGTTACTCGTTACCGAGTAAAAAATGTAACTAGTTACAGTTACAGTTATCGCTTTTTAAAAGTAACTCGTTACAGTTACCGTTACTTGAAAAATAACTTTTCGTTACTTTTCCGTTACTTTTTTAAAATCAATTTAAAAATGTACTTTTGCATTTTTTTTTATATGTAATACTGACAAATATATATAGAGTTTTATTAAAAAAAAAAAACAATGTAGAATGGCTCAAATAATAAATTAAATAAAAGTAAAATGAGAAGGGTTACGAGCCAAAAATGAAACAGTTTATTTCCGATAAGAACGACGATGACAATGTAATTAAATGTATAAATATATATTAGAACAACAACATGGATAAAACAAGATAAAAACAAACGACGTTTCCACACTTATTGTCATCGTCTTTTAAACTGTTTCGCTTTTGGGTTCGTAGCCCTTCTCATTTTACTATTATTTAATTTATTTTTTAATTTTTTTTAAACACAATTTTGTAATTCTAAAACCTGTAAAATATGCAGCAAACTGAAATATTTGTATGTCCTATGTATTACATAGAAGATAGAAGTGTAAAATAATTACTGAATCATAACGGCCGAATGTCTAAGGGCTTTCAAGTCTTATTGATAAGCGCTGTAAATAGCATGTATCCAATCGAACCGTGTTCAATCGTGTGCAAAGTAACGACAAAAGTAACTGTAAATTTCGTTACCGTTACCCAAAAAATGTAACTCGTTACCGTTACAGTTACCAAAAAAAGAAAGTAACGCAGTTACCAATAAAGTTACCAAAAAAGTAACTTGTAACTGTAACTTCGTTACAAGTAACGAGTTACTTCCATTCCCTGGATATAATGATACATTATTTAACGCAATACTTTTCTTAATATGTATCGAGTTGAAAATTGTTAATATTACAAAAGAAGTACTAGATATTGAAAGAGACTAGAGTCTACATCGACAAACTTAAAAATAAAATAAAATTTTATTCCATTTTGCTTATTTTAACCACTTATCCTTTTACACTTTGAAACTTTTCAAATATCTCAGCTCGATGCTTTTATAAATCATCTCTATATACTTTGCCGCATCGAGATTTGTGAAAATATCTCTCATACGCAAGCACTTCTACGTATCCTCGTAGAATCGTTTATTTCGTATAAGGCAGCAATGTATCATGTTGGGGCAGGACGGTCATGTCGGACGAGTCGGCCTTAATCTTACATGTGCCACGCTCCTCCTTCACGTTAATTTAGATATTTCTCATCGTCATCGTCCGGTTTATTCCCATCGCGCTTCCTCGTTTTCCTTTCCCACTTCTTCTATTTCTTGCTCTTTCGCGCAGAATGAGAGGAGAGCGCAAATGATCCCCCTCGGGAGCATTTACGTATCGTCCATACCTTAATCATGAGCCCCTCAAATGGCCAGTATAACGACTTACTTTAGTCATATTTAACATTTTAACCGGCAGTCGCACGGGACATGTAGGTACAATAGAAAATTTCAATGTGAGGAATACACATATACTTATTATACAATAATTATACCTCTTGTAATATAAAGACATCTTTATCGTATTACATTATACTTCACTTTATTTGGCGTATGTACATTTTTTCTTATAAAATTTTATATTTTAATTAATTTATTATTTTTGATATTAAAAGTATAATACAATAATTTTTTAATACAAAGACTATTAGGAACGAATAACAAATACCTACATGAAAGAAAACATATACCAGATATCTTTGACAAGAGATTTCTACAAATTTAGCTAGATACATATAACACACACACAGATTTGAAAATAATTTTATTTAGAGCATGAAAACTCTATTTTCATTCAATTTATTACATAGAACACTTAAACTAATTGCTAGAAGATTAAAATACGTTAAAACCGTTGCGGTTCGACATTTAGCGTTTTACATAATTATTGTGAAGGTCTAACAAAATTACTTTTAAATCTGTATCTAGTTAAACTTCAAGATACTTTAGCAAAACCGTTCATTCCGTGTACGGTTAAATAGATTTATAAGGTATTAACTTCTTTCGCCTTTAATAATCTTTTCCGAGAGTACAATCCCTAGTTCTTCATGCTCGTGCGCATAAAGACGGCAGCTTGAGAGGCGTGCCCATACAATAAGGGCGCTTGCATATTACGGTGATTAGTGTCACTATCCTCATATCAAGTCGCTTTACGAGTCTATTAAAGCGACCGGTTTCCAAGGAGTAATAGCATCGCCGCCGCCACCGTAGTTGAGCTTATTTTAATAATGCTATTAAGTCACGTACTCATTCAGTTGAAACTATTTCTAAATACTCCCCCAGTATCTCTCATTTCATATTCTGCATCGTCAGAGATTTTCGTCGAGACTGCGCCGAGTCTCGGATCCCCCTAGCGATTACGCGCTATGTTTCCCTTCGAATCGGCGACGTAGAAACAGGTTTTCGCAAAAGTGCGAAAGACGATGGCTGGCAACTGCTATCAAAATCCATAAAAATGGAACCAATTTGCGTTTATATGCCGGCGCTCGTGTACTGCCTTTCGGCACGGTTCGCGAGCGGAGTAAATGAAGATAAGAAAATGTACATTCCTGTACGGTACTCTCTTTGCAGGATGCCACTTCTTGAATTCAACACATTCTTTTCGGTATAAAACTTTTAAGATACCTATTAATTGATAATTTATAAAATTTTCAGGTTTTTTTTTTAAAGATAAAATGCAACACATGTTATATCGGAAAGCAGGTAAAGATTTTTCAGGTACATTTCTATTTTTTGGGTATATTAATATATTAATATGTTTGCTTCAGAAATTGCAATTATAAATATGTGTACTGCAAATGGATATTATTTTAGTAAGAAATACTAAATAACTCACATTTGGAAGATGCGTGTACAGCAATATCTTTTAGATAGACTCTCGCTACATTTTCTTATGAACAAACGACTAATCACTGCAATGATGGCGGTATTCATTGCTGATTCTTATTTAAGACCGTCTTAAGTACAGTCTTAAGATGTCATAAATTCGTCATAAAGTTCAATATTAACATCTTTTTTTTTTTAAACTTTACTTAAGACGGTCTTATAATAAGAATAGACTATAAATACCGTGCACGCGTGTGTGTGTCTGTGTATCTCACGTTTATCCGAATATTAAAATTAGCGATAAAAAATTTTAAGTTAAGCCTCAGTACACGATTAGTATCTTTTTATCCTTATCCTTCATATTTTTATTTTCTCTCTAAAATACTATATTAGAGCACCTGATTAAATAATTAATAGTCTTTATCCTTACTTTTTTTTATACATTTTACAAATATTTTTTCTAGATGTTAAAACATATAATTATAGTAAGAATTATATACCTATTTCTACCAACGTATAGATTAACTGTAATCTCTGTTCAACTATAAGTATTCATTTTTTTAGAAATTCTTAGGTCGGCTCCAGTATAACATTAACTTGAATCTCTCTCAAATAATTTTTTAACTAAAATGTGCAGATGAAAAATCGACTTGTTTCAGAACGTGACAAGCAATCAAATGAACTATAACATGAAGTTAATTTTTTCAAAAATTATAGGGACCAGTTTTACACCAGTTCGTAACATTTGAATTTGAACTGTATCAAGGAAACATCTAAATAATACCAAGAGGTTATATTCGACAGTGTGGTTATTTCGATAACCACAGGTATAGTTCGTGGTTACGAAATCGAGTCGAATATCTCGACGTGTTTGACCCTCACACTCTACGCATATCTGGCATTGCGCACATAATCGCACGCCCCCGACATCCACTCTCAGGGCCGTAGAACCCATCCGGCCGGTTTCCCGCAGGGGCCTGACGGAGGGATGGGTTTTAAAGGGGCCGCGGCAAAGAGCGGAGAGCCTCTCGGCTCCGCGTGTGCTCTGACGCGGAAAGCCGGTTAGTCGGTCTCAATCCGTCGTGGCGTTCGTATTAAGCCAGTGCGTATTCCGAATCGCGTGTTCCGAACCGGCGAACTGACGACGCGGACGGGTCGACCGGAAACGTGTTGAAAAAGGCCGCGTGGATTCATCGCCCTGACTCGCATCTGTTCCGACGGCGTCCGACGCGAAACGCCGAACGAAGGATTCCTTTGTTTTTCGGTGTACCTTCGATTGTTATACATATACATTTAGTGTTTTGGTGCACGTGGCTGCTACAGTTCGTGTACGAATTCGGCGTATCCGGACCTGCGCGCAGAGGGTACGTTTAATCTCGTTTTCATTGCTAATCCCACGACGGCGCACGCGTCCTCGTGCGATTGGAGTCACCCGCGCTTTCATTGAAACAGAGCACGATATTATCCGAGAATTGGTTAATTAATAATGAGATTTTAGTTTCCCAATATATACGGTGATACGATCAATAGGGACAACTGGCAATCTTGATACATCTTTTGTAAACGTTGGAATTTTCTCGGAAAGCTGCGAAGTTTTCGTAAAATATACAGTGAAAAAAAGGCATTTGTGCATTTTATCTCGTTTGGAATAGTTTTATATAAAAAAAAAATTACTGCAAAGTATTTTTACCTGACAATACACATTTCTCGTGAAAAGAGTATACTTATTACCGAAAAAAGCAAATTTTTTCTTTATATTGAATTTTTCTTTCAAAAAGATGGGGAATGTGCAATTTGATTTAACTATCATTATTTTATTTGTTGATTTTTTAATTACTAATCTTTTTATTGAGTAATACTAACAATAAGTAACGCTTACAGCAAAATATTTATTCACTCTAAGTGTTTGCTTAGTACTATAAAAAAAATAGTATTACAGTTTAGTAAATTTTATTTTAGCGTGCACTTATAAAAAATGATATATATTAAATAATAAGTGATAGCTTAAAATTTAGAGCGGAAAATTATGGGAATCCTGTTCTCTTATTAAATTCAAATTTATTATGCAACTGTAGGACTTTTTTTCTTATTTTATTCCTGTGCTCAGACATGTCCAATGTAAATTAATTTTAATCTCTCTTCATCTCTCTCATTCTTCATCTTTTTTTAATTTTTTAGACTTCTAATTCTTAGAAGAAGATAGATAAGTTGAATCCAGATTAAAGTTAATCTACATTGATAGAAACGGTCGTTAAAGATTAAAATTCTCGAGATGTTTACATGCCTTGGATATAAGCGAATTATCGTCATTAATCTTTCTACGTATCTTTAAAACAATTATTATGAAATTTATGACTGATTTATGTCTGAAATGTTCATGATATCGCAGAAACGTATATAATACATAAAATCTCTTGCATATGCATAGAGCGTAATGCCACGCTTGAGCTATTCACCAAACAGACGATATTGCGCTTATTAGCAATGTCTACATACTTTACATATATTTTAACCGTCAAGAACAATTATATCGTTGCTCATAAAATAAAACGGTTCGTTGAGCAAGAATCGCCATTATTTGATCAAATAAGCGGCTATTGCACTCTCTGTTATATCGAAGGAATTTTCTATTAAATATTCACTTACTTTATCTTTGTAAAATTTTTTACATTTGTGACCATTATAGTAAACAGTTTAGAATTCCTTTTGATCTTGGAATTAATCCTGTCTTAGTTTTTCATTTTAAAAATAAAATTTTGCTTATCAAAGTATAAACGATAAAATTTCTTAATTCATAGTCTGTAATGTAATTTTAACGAAATCATTTGTAATATTTTGTAAACAGACTTTTGTATTGGTCCACATCGAATAAGTTACGTTTTTCGAAACTCGGACTTAAAGTTTTTGTTATACCTAAGTCAATTTGTTTGAAGAATGAAATTGTCTAAGAAATGTTTGAATATTACTGATCTGTCAATAGCGTTATTGCGAAATCCTGCCATTGATGTTTTGATAAAATGTATGCTGTGTAGGCACTCTAGTAAATTACAGTCCTGCGCTCAAACCGGCAGCTGCGTTAACCGAACAAGCGGCTCGCAATTGTGGAACACATATGTCAAAGTCATAGGGACAGAATGCTGATTCAATCTGGGTATCTTTTTAGAAAACTCGAACGATGATTTGTATAAGTCATTTCGTCACGTTCTAGATCGATCCTCGCACATAACGCACTTCATTCGTTTGTAAAAGAAAATACCCGATCTTTTTCTCATCTTTGACAAGCATCATATATTAACGATATTAATTATAATAGAATACACAATTAAAAAAAGAAGAGAGGGAGAGAGAGAGATAATTCAATAATAAATCTAAATGCGTATTAATGACATTGTAGCATATAAACTATACCTTTGTCGCGTTTCTCGAACGCTAAATATATAATAGAAGCTAATCGCTTTACGATTGATAAATCCTATTTAAGGATGAATGAGTAAATCCACACTCTATTTGTTTACATTATTGGATGTAGGTATATTGGATCCAATATACATTGGATGTATATGTAATCATCTTAATTATTATCTAGTTTCTAATTTCTGTAAAGGTGACGTTATTCTTAAAATCTCCTAAACCTTCCTCCCCCCTCCTTCCCTCCCCCCCTCTCTCTCTCTCTTTCTCTCTTTCTCTCTCCTTGTTTAGAGTAATCTCGCTCTGTAAAATGAAAACTCGCCCTTGAAGATTAAAAATCAAGCCACTCTTTCTCAGGATTGGCTCAATTTTCACTCATTAGAGTGACTTTTATTCCAAAGAGAATTTAGAGAAACAATAAACATATATCTATCTCGTGCCTAATTGAGATGATCCTAATTAAGTAAGGTTTACTTATGGATCGAGTTCGAAACCTAATAAAAGTTTTCATTTTCATTACTACTAACAATAGAGTTACTATAAAAAATGTGTAATAGTATCGCAGCCCCTTTCTCCCATTTACCACTAAATTTGGATTAACCTAATTTGCTATGTGTGAACGTTCCCAAGGCGCACTTAAGTCCCGCAAGGAAAAAATAAAAGGGGGAGGAGGATAAGAAAGAGAAGAAGTAGTCAACGTGAAGGCTACCTACCGTTAATCTGTACGTTAATGCGGCTCAGTATACGAGCATAAGTCTCGCGTCATGTGAGATGCAAATGCGACTCGTAGCATTGGTGCGAAGAATTTTTTTGTTACTAAGCTATTCTTTCTCGTTATATTTCTCGCATGAATCGCGCAATGTCGAATCAGATGATGCGTTAATTAATTAGCACGTTTGTCTTCGTAAAGCAGAGGATGAATAGAAAAATGTACAGGCACAAAAAGGCATAATATATGATGAGGTTCGCTTTAACGAGCAAAACTCGACCAAAACAATGTAATGTTTAATGCATGAGTTTTCTAAGAGTAAAGATATTTTACGGATATTTTAATTTGCAGAATTAAAAAATATATGTATATAACGTAATTATAAATGAGTTAATTAACAATAATTCATATATCGAGAGAAAAATGTATTAAATTTTCATAGATATTTGTTTGAATAGTGCCAGTGGAATATTCATTAAAAGTATTATATTTATTTGATATCATTAATTTGATTGAACTATTATTTTTATTCAACAAATATTTATTTTCCGCGTAAATAAATGTTATATTAGTATCATTCAAACAATTACTTATTAAAATTTAGTATTATACATTTTTCTCTCAGTACAATTGTAATAATATCAATCATTTACGTAAATTATATTAAATGTTGAAATACAAAATCTTACTATTGACAAAAATATCATTAGACTCGCAATTTACTTTCAAATCCAAGTTTGACGACTATCTTATTAGATTTCATCGAAGTGACAAACATAATTGAAATAGGGATAGACGATCGTTAGCAACGTGACAAGACATATGAGCATTTACAAACCCACAATCCATTATAGAAGATAAGATAATTATTAAATCATTACCGTTAAGAAAAATTGTGGAACGAGTTTTCTTCTATCATCAATCCCTTACACTTACCTATACATTATTGTACATATCAACACGTTGTTATAATATAAATTAACTGTTATTCTTTATTGCAATAATTTTAATTGTAATTGTGAATCGATATAAAAATTTTGGAAAAAATAACAGCATTGGACAGATTGATTTGATTAATTAAAAAAAAAACACTAACGCAATAAATATCAACGAATTTTTAATCGCTCGAACTTAATTATTTACAAATATCTAATACTATTATATTTTGTAATAAGTTATTTAATGACTTAAATCATATACGATTTCTTTCTAAAAGCTGTTCCTTTATTTTAATGTTTTCTTGATTTATTTATTTACGCTAAATAACGTAGGTATAATTCTAAGATGTCATGTTTATTTAGAATGTCATTTACTTTATTATTGGATTATTATACGAATTGTTTTACAGTTAAATCTTTTTGTTACATTTTTACGCTACATACATATATATAAATCGCAGACACCAATTAACGGATAAATTATAGTGAATTACATTATTTAAATTTTTAAATTAATCCATTTTCTACAAGACAATAATGAACTAGCGTAACCCTTGCAGGCAAAACCGGAAGATTATGACCAGCTTCCAACAAGTTAAAACGCATCAGCACGTCTAATCAACGGCTCACATCTAATTCTGCGATCTTTGTCTCACAAACGCATGATCCTCTCTGAATCCGTAAGGCAAGAAGTATCCAAAAGTATCAATGGAAGAAACACCGCTAAACGACGAGAGCACTTTATATGCAAGATTTCGTCGTAGTTGCCGCAACCGCGAGTCTTATGACACGATCGCGGAATTGGCGGCTGAATTACGACGTGCCTATATGGTGAAAGGGCTGCAGGCTCAGCTTGATGAGAAACAGGCTCACAAATACGCCGAGCTCGTGCGAAAACGCGAGGTCGCCGACTTGATCCGTCAGGAACAACAGGAAGTGTTGGAGGAGGATCTCCGGTGCCGGTCGGATACGCTACGGAAATCGAAGGAATACAGGCAACAGCTGGACGAGCAGTTGACACGAAAGGAGAAAGAGAAAAGAGTCATTGTGGAGGAGGCTCGCGAGTATAGGAAGTTCTTGGAAGAAGTGGACCGAGAGCAAGAGGAACAGGAGCTCACGAAGGCGCTGGAGAAGAAATGCGAGCTTGTAGAGAGAACGAGACAAGACAGACTGTTCCTCGAGGAAATAAGGGAGGCCCGTCGACAGGAGGAGCTCGAAGCAGAAGAGAAGAAGCGACTGAAAGATCTAGAGTACTTGGAAGAGATAGAGGAGAGATCGAAGGAGATGAGCAGACTACGACAGGAGCAGT